GTCCAGTAATAGCAAGTCTTAGCATAGCCTCCCTTTTATTATAAATGGGTGTTTTTTATAATTTTTACTGACACTCAGTAACCATGCAAAATATGCACATTAATATATCTATACTTATCTATAATGTGTGTGTGTGTTTGTGTGTGTGTATGAAAGCTCCTGGTAAAAAAAACCACAGGTAGGGAGCATTGCCAATTTACACATACAAAGTGATCTTGTTTACAGTATTATTGACAGTGCCAATAAATGATAAAGAAATTAACATGCCATAATGTAACTGGCAACCATACACACAATTCCATAAATACTTCCTGTGTTAATCAGTACTGTTAAATTAAATATATTTATAATGGAAACATCAGAGTAAATGTGGCCTTCTTGATTGGAAATGGTTTTAAAATAATATTTGGCAAGTACTTATTAAGCACCTATAATATATACCTCTTAGGGATGTCTTGAAGGAACATTGTGCCTGCAGTGAGTATGAGCCATTCATTTCTCCAGGGCTCACAAGGACATACCATGGGAACAGGGATGGACAAGGTATGGTCCTTAGTCTCAGTTCACCTTCCAGTGGAGCAAAGGTCATATCAGCTCAGCATAAGGACGAGGATACAGGAAGACCCCAGATACCGTACATGCACAAAGAACTGGCCCTAAGTTGGGGTGGAAGTTGGGCTCCTGAGTTTCCTCCTCAAGGTTGAGCAGGAACTGCTCCAGGGACTCAGAGGAGGCAGGGAAAGCATCCAGTTCAAGAAAATAGCTAACTGAAGGGACAAAGGTGGGGGGAGGCAGAAGGCATTTATTTCTACGTTGTCCAGCATGAGTAGATCACAACGGGAGAGATTCCAGCACCCCCTGGAGACAAGGCCAGAGAAATGGGCTGAGCTGCAATCCAGAGGGCCTTCTGTGCTGTGCTTAGGGTGTGAGCCTTCCATGCAGTGATGCAGCGATGCAGCCACTAAAGGTTTGGAGCAGGGGGATATTTCAATGTGTGTTTTAGAGACTGTCCTGCATGTTCACCATGACAAACAGGGAGGTGCAGAGATGGGTCGGGCCACTGCCACCATCAACATGACTTGGGAGTCTAACTAGGATAATAATGGAATGAATGGAAAGGGAAGGAAAAGCACAGAATCCAAAACATACAGGACAGTGACTTTCAACACTGGATGCACTTTAGAGTCACCCTAAAGAGCTTTTTCAACAATCCCAATGCTAGGGCCCTACCCCAAACCAATTAAGTCAGATTCTCTCCATGGCCAACTAAGGTGATAAGCTGATGACTGACTGGAATCAACAGGGAGGCTTAGAAGAGATGCTTAGTACACACCTGCACAAGTGAGTTGGACCTTCATCCTCCTGGTGTCCTGACCTGGAAGCAGGGGTGATGGGTTTTCTCACTTCTGCTCTCAGCTGTCTCAGTGGCCTTCCATCACCCTTATATTTCTCACCTGTAAAATCTATGGCTTAGAACACATGGTTTCCAAGGTATCTCCCAGCTCTGAAATCCGACATGTCTAAGAAACAAGACTTGAAACGCAGTATCTACCATTAAATGTATTTTTAAATCACCCACAGTAATTATCATTTCCTGAGCATCTATAATGTGTAGCCACATTCTACTGCTGCTTTATAATTTTCACAAGAAACCTACATACTATGTACTTGTATGCCTGTTTTCAATGTGAGGAAGCTGAAGCTCAAAATCAGAGTTTGGAAGCCAGGATACACATGGATGTATGAAAGATGGCACACGTGTAATCAGTGTGTGTGCCTGCATGTGCACGCACACAGTCAGCATGGAATTGCTTAAGGATAGGGACTACCAATGACCTTTCTCACAGCAGCCTGGCCACTGGCCTTGGTATGTGGACTCGAACTGGTCAGTATCAGTATGAGATCCTAAACATACAGGCCTAAGACAGGTGTGTGGAAGGTGTCAGAGCCTCAAGGTCAAATACTATTTTTAAAAACAATCAGTGTTTTCTATTTTCTGTATTTCCCTGCTGGGGAAGCAGGATGAGGCAGTAGTGACCCAACTCAACTTGATAGCTCGCTGACCTTAAGGAAGTCAATTCATCTGCAAAATGAGGTTGATAACAGTAATGCTCACTAACATGTATCAAGTGCTCCCTTGGATCAGGAACTATTTTCAGTGCTTTTCATGTAGTAAGCCAGGCCCCTCAATCACCCTAAGTGGGTACTTTTATTATCATTGCTTGACAGGTGAAGAAACCAAGGCCCAAACAGACACCATATAACTGGCCCCAGGTCATAGCCAGGAAGTGCCAGGGCTGGGATTCAAGCAGGCAGGAAGTCTTGCTTCAAAGCCACATGCTTTGCCCTACATACCACTGCCTCTCTCTGGCTCTCCAACTTGAATAGTTGCTGGGTTTAAATGTGATAATTGCCTGGCATACGGTAGGTATTAAATGGAAGATACTTCCTTTGCCACTTCATCTGTGAATAGTGTTGCACATATGGATTCTAAATAACATATTTCTGTCAAGGTTAAGTTCCCATTCATAAATATTAAATCTAATTCCCAACAAAGGTAAACTCCACTGGGCATCCTGGAATATATTTCAATTGTTAATAAGTAAAATGGATGTTTTGTCACCACTTGGTACAAGCATGGCCAGGTGGTATCAGCCCTGCTTGACTAATTCTAATCAGCCAAGATTTTATAGTGGAATGATGCAGGATCAAAACAAGGCCATAAAACTTGGACTCCTCCTGGAGGTCAAAGGGGACTTTGCTTTCCACCTGGGGACTCACAAGCCCTGAAACCATGAAGTAGCAAAAGGAAAGCTCCAATCTTAATTATTTCAGCAACTCACCACAAGGTTGGGCCCCTGAGCAGCTAAGTTCACCAGATCCAGGGAGTGCTGATGGGCTGGGTGGGATTTCTGGCCCTATGACAATGTCTCATTTTTGGTAACCAGTGCAGGAAGGACAACAGCTCTCAGCTGTGCCCAATGTGAATGTCCCCAGCTAGAGCTGACCTCACCCTTGTCTGGAAGCCCCCGTCTTAGTTTGGCTCCAGCTGCTATAACAGAATACCTTAGACTGGACAGCCTAAACAGCAAACAATTAACTGCTCACGGTTCTGGAGAATGGAAGTCCATAATCAGGTTCTTGTGGAAGGTCTCTCCCTGGTTATGTGCTCACATGGCCTTCCTTGGTGTACTCAGTCTTGTCTCCTTCCTATAGGACATTAATCCTGTCACAAGGGCCCCACCCCCAAGACCTCCTCTTACCCTAATCACCTCTCAAGTCCCCACCTCCAAACACCATCACTTTAGGGGTTATGGTTTCAACATATGATGTTAGGGATGACTATTCAGTCCATGGCAACTACCATATGAGAATTGACATGCTACAGACCACCACCATTCCCTGCGTCTAAATGATATGTAGCCCAGGGGTGGCATGGAGGAGCACAAAACCCACACTGTTCTCAGCAGAGAGAAAGGAAAACCAGTCTACAAGGGACAGAGTTAAGTCCCACTGACACTCTCAGTGACTGAATGTTTCCTATTGTCAACTCAGTTTCCCAGTCCAGAGTGGAAATACATGGTTGAGAAACGTTACCTGGAAAGCTGACATGAGGAAGAAATAGATGGAAGAAGATACTGTGTTTATCACAGCATTTTTCTTCATGTTAAGACACATGACAAACTCATCATGAAAATTTTAAATACTGGGTTATAAAGTTGAACCAGGAGCCTTCCCTTCATCTACCACCTTCAACCCTGAAACCTCTCCTCAGAGGTAATTACTGTTCACAATTTGGAATGTTGCATTTTTAAAACACAAGATCGCACAAGACAATATTGTTGTGTGACTTGTTTGTTCCACATAACATTACCCCATGGTTACCTTTCCACATCAGCAGATTACATCAGTCTAACTCTGGTTAAGGGCCAAGTAATAAATATCCCATAGTAGGGATCTACCAACATTTTATTTTTCAATTACAGGTGACCAACATTTATTGAACTGTGTTGCCTATTACGGAGACTTAGTTTACTTCCAGTTTTGATGGTGCTATTGTTTTGTTTGTTTTCCTGTTAGAAACATTCAGTGAATATTCTCATGTGGATGCTTGGGCATTTCTATTAGATTACTATGTTTGAATTGTCAAAGAGGGTAATCACCAGTGTGTCCACCACCTGAATCTAAAGGCCACTTCCATTTTCTGAGGAGCTGTTGCTTGGTTTTAGAGAAGGGTGAACCCCACAAAATGATTTTCAAAACTTGGGGTACCTTGGAATTACCATAAAAACACACATGCCCAGTTTCTACCAGAAACCCGTAGGGGTTCAACACAGGGTAGTTTTGCTCTCTTTGTTGATTTGGGATTTTTTTTGCACAGCTCCCAGGAGCTGCCCTACACGTGTGGTAAACACCCTAACCCGATTCCCATTCTCACATGGAGATCTATGATTTTAGTTCAGGAATAAAGGAATGGATAACGCATTTGCTCTGTGTGCCCTCTGCTGGTACTATGGAGCCAACCATGCATCAGAACAGAAGCTCTTTCACGCCAAGGCTGGTGAGAATCCCGGCTCTCACCTTCCAGTGTAGTGAGACTTCCACCCAGTGGCTGTCGACCCAGGCTACACATGAGAGCCACCTGGGGTGCATGGTCACAGGCCTGGGTAACAACATTTTTAAAAAGCTCTCCAGGTGATTCCGCACATGGAGCCAGGGTTTGAGAACCTACTCTTTAGGCAAAAAATTGACCCGGGAACATGCAGTCCAGAGACATCTGATATGAGAGCCCCAAGACCTCTGGGTAGTGAGCCCTGTCTTGTGGGGTGCCATGCCTGCTTGGAGGACACTCCTGCCCCAGTCATGCAGTTACCCTCTGGCAGGACCAAATGACCCACTTCCAGGTTTCTTCCCAGTGTGGTCTGCTGCTGGGTCTGCCACTCCATCATCTCTGAACTAACACTTAATGTTTGCTCTTGCCTACTGCATTTGCAAAGCACTCAACATTTATTATTTATTCTCACACACATCCCATGAGACAGACAGGATTTTCCATTTTATAGATGTAAAATCAAGGTTCAGAGACACTCAGCTACCGGATGAACAAAACCCAAGTCTTCCGACTTCAAATCCTATGTTCCCCCTGCCCCACCCTTCCTCCCATTTTACAGCACTGTTCTGTTTGCATGAACGGGACATAGCTTCTTCCAACAGCTGGCTCCTAACAGAACCTGCTGGCCATTACCTACATGAATGTTATATACAAATGCGGAACTCTTATTGTATACAAGAATTTGCACTAAGGCCTCTGTCCTAAACTAGGTTACTAGCATCAGCCTCATGAATTTCCTCATCCCAAAAGGCAAGTTTCCCAGGAATCCTGGCAAAGTCTCCAGCTGACAGGTCCCCTTCATTAGCCTCGCCCACACCTTCAGCCTTCAGTCAGAGATCCAGGTGGCCCAAGGCTGCCCAGAAGCCCAGTTGTTCACTTAAGTGTGTCCAGCACCCCAAACACCTGTGTGAAACGCTCTCTGTCCACGATGCATCCATAGCGCAGGGTGAGGTAGAAGGTCTGCTTCCCACTGTACTGTTGGATCCGCACGAAAAGTTCCTGCGGCCGGTTCTGGGTTTCCGTCATAGGGATCACATCGGCCACTGGGCAGTACGTGTCCTGTCGCCAGCCCCAGAAAGTCAGGTGGGCCACCCGCAGCATGGTGCCTGATTCATTCACATATAGGATACCCACCAGCCTCCAGAAGAAATAGCTCATCCAGCACAGCATGGCCAGGGCAAACCCAGCTATCCCACCCACAGTGCACAGGGAGTCGAAAGCCATAAGGCCCTGGGAGTACCAATAAAAGCCAGGCAGCAGGGCCACCACCGTCAGGGCCGTTTGTGCCACCTTCAGCCGAGACAAGTACCTAAAGATTCTGATGGCGTCAAACCGGAATATCATCTGGAATTTCTCTGTCTCTGCGCCTGGTGATTTCCCTTTCAAGGTGGGTGACCTACTCCCCACCCACCTCCTCAAATCCTGCCCATTGCAGCACTGCAGCCCGTAGAGAGGCCTTCCCCACACAGCTGGCACTGGCAACCGCATCACAGCTCGGAGGACAGCAGCCTGGAAGGGAGACAAGAGACCATTTCTCTCAAAGAACTCGACCGTGCTCATCATACAATGAGCACCTGCAAAGCATCTTAGGTGCAGGCTCCTGCCAGTCTTGTGAGGTCACCATCAGGACAAAGATGGAGGGAAACGGAAACCCACGTGCTTTACCTCATGTGCCCTTCACAAAAGCTGTGTGAAATAGTAAAAATCTAAGCCCAGAAAAGGTAAGAAATTTACCCAGGAACACACAGCCAGCGAGTGAGACAGTGTCTGACTCTTCAACCCGTCCTCCTTCCTCCAGGCACTTCAAGTAGGTATAGGAAGGAGACACAGCCCTCGTTCATTTAAACAAAACTGCCTAGAGAGAGCCAGCTGCGGGCAGGGCACTGGATCCATCAGGCTGGGTGAATATTTCCCCAAACAGGAAATGTGCCACTGGGGAACAAATCCGTTGGATATGTAGCACAGTAACTTTCTGAATCTCTGTCAGGTTAGAGCATCACCCTGGTGCCGAAGGGAAACGGTGATTTCTTAGCCCTGTTGGGGGGAGCCGGAAGACTGGAGGAGGAGAGAGGGGTGAAGGAGCCAAACGGAAGCAGAAGGATTTTAGTGGAAGCACAGTCCACACCTTGACTACTGCAGTGAAAGTTGCTGTGGGCTTTGGAACAGGTCTGGGTTCCAATCCCGACTCCTAGTCACTAGCCCTGAATCCTTGGGCAAGTCATTCCCCCTCTCTAGGCCTCGGTTTCTTCATCTTTCAAACGGGGATTCAGAATATACTGAATGAGATGATGCTTTTAAAACTCTCAAGAGCACCTGACGGACCTGATGCACAGCGAATGTTCGGTGAGCTTTAGTTTCGCTGTTGTTGACGCACGTGACCTGAGCGCACAGCAAGCCCGGGAATAACAAATCGTAACCCACCCCGCAGGTCCCTGCCGCGCGTTCCCCGAATCACAACCTCAGGCTTCGGCCTGCGGACCCTAGGCCTGAACCCGACGCGAACAGCGAGTCACCTCCCTCAGTCCCCACCACCCACCAGCTTACCATGGCCCGCCCTTCCACCGGACTGCGCCAGCCAGCGGGGTCTCTACAACCGCTTCCGACCCCTGACGGGACTGCGTGAGGCACGTTGCATTCTGGGATTTGTGGTCCACAGAGAGTTGCTGACGCTGTGGGCCCGGTGGCAGTGGAGTCTCCTCCTCCCGACGTGCCCTGCAGCAAGCGGGCTGAACTCCGGAAGTTCCGGACCGAGTTCCAGGTGCCAGCGGGTCACTTCAGGTGCAGCACGGGGTCTGGCGACATGGCTCCGTCCCGCCCGGTGCTGTGTCTCTTCGACGTGGACGGGACCCTGACGGCCCCGCGGCAGGTAGGCGGCACCCGGGAGACTGGAGGCAGCGGGTGCGGAATCTCTTGCTGGCCCCAGACCAGGCTAACACGGCCCAGGGTGGGCACCGAGGGGCGGCTAAGGACCGCCTTCCGCCTCTGACAGGGCTGAACTCAGTCCTGGGTGCCCTAGAGCATGAGCCCGAACACCTCAGGGTACTTGGAGATGGGACGGGGCGAACAACTTTTGAGAGGAGGAAACGTGCGTTGGGTTGGGAATTGCAGTTTTGAACACTCACCGCAAGCCCTGGGTTTCAGCCACCGCTCAGCCCCCTTAACAGCTGTGTGCCCTCCTCCGTTCTGTCACCTATGGGATGTACTTTGTGCCCCGATATGGAAAACATAGGTTTCCAGGTCGAACAGACCTAGTAGAGTCTCTACTTGGTGACTTTGCAAGTCCTTTAACCCCTGAGCCTCAGCATCTAGTGTTTTTACCTGTTCCATATGGGGCTTGTGAGGGTCAAATGAAATCAAACAAGTTCATGAAAGTATCTTGCCTTACAGGAGGCTGTGTTCAGTAACATTTACCAAATATTAACCACCACCATCACCCCCTTCTCCAGCCGCTGCCATGGGTCTCGGACGATGGAGGAGACTTAGACTGTTCAACAGGAGGCTTGTGGAGAGCCTCCTTGGACTCCTGGACACTTGCTTCCCACTTCCAGATTTTGGTGCTACCGGCACAGATAGGTTTCAGTTAAGATCAGCATTTGTGATGCGCTCACTCTGACCTCCTCCTTGTACAAACTGATCACCAAACACCAGCCGATCAAACGTGAGGCCCAGTTGGCCTTACTGTGTTCAAGTGCTTTCTCTACCCACCTTAATTTTGCCCGGGTGGTAGCAGTGGTATGCTTCAGCATTCCACATCAAATGTGTGTGACCTTAGACGTGTCATTTTCCCTTTCTGAGCCACATGTTGGATGTGTGTAGTGAGGATACTCAACTGCAAGTTCTCCAAAGGCCCCTTTTGACTCTGAGATTCAGTGATCGCCACAAGCTTGTGGGTCATTAAAAGCCTGTGGTGGTGTAGGGCCAAGGTCAGCAATTCATTGTTTGTAAAGAGTCACAGCAGTTACTCTTGTCTTCGCCAACCATTTGGTTTGTCGTAACTACTCAACTTTAATGCAAAAGCAGCCATCGACTATGTGTAGACACAGCGTGGCTGTGTCCCAGTTAAACTGTATTACAAAAACATGCAGCTGCTCAATTTGTCCCATTGGTCATAATGGTGTAGGGCTTACAGTCCAAGCCTTTTTACACACATCATTGGACCCTTTCAACCTTTCATCCCAGGTGATATGGTTATTACTATCCTTTTAAACATAAGGAGACTGAGACTCAAGGTCCTCTGGATCTCACTCAGCAGATCTGGTTGGTACCAGTCTCCTGGCCTCAGGGCATTGTGTTGGCTAAGTTTGCCATTTTCTGCCATTCTTCTAAGGTGGAAACTGTTCTGGTTGCTGGATATGCCATTCAGGAAAGTGCACCTGATTTGCAGGAGGAATTATGCTACATAAGCATAAAGTATGAAATAGTATTGAAACCAGGCAACCCATAATGTATATAGTCCTTAAAACATTGGAAGCATAATATTCTTTGCACTGAACATAAGTCATTTTAACACTCAAAACTCTGCAGTTTAAAAGAGAATGGTATCTATGTGGTAGGTTCTTTTGATAAAAAATAAAAACATTTTAGCAACAATCTACTCATTATCCAACCTCTCCCTCACAAATGTATTCTCAAACATCGATAAGCCCAATACAGTGTGGCAGTCAAATGGGTGATCTTTTGTTGAAGCTGCTGAAACAGGATATGACCTAAACAGGTAAATTCTAAGTAGCATGGAGTCCAGGGTTTTGCACATCTCACTGTTTTATTGCACTGAGTACTTTCCTAAGATATGCCACTTCATCTAAAAACAGTTCAGACTTAGAATAAAAGCCTGCAGAAGGAAGGGGGGCGGTGCTTAAACCTGGGTGAATTGTTTTCCAGCCTTCTGTCATGAAAAATTTAAAACATACTGAACCACTGAAAATAATGCAGAGAACAGCCATATCCCCTCCACTTAAGTTCAACAATGATTTACATTAGCTTTATCTTCCTTGTGTGTGTGGTTTTTTTCATCTTTGCTGCACCATTGCCTAAGCTGCCATCATCACAGAACTTCACTCCTAAATATTGAGCCTGGAGCGCTAAAGAAGCTGAAAGTGCTTTTAACTAAGCTCCTACCTATTTGCCTAATGTTTTCAAGTGGGGAACAAAGGGAAAGAAGGAAAAGGTGGGTCAGTCACTCTCAGTGTTGCCTCTGCCTCATGCGTGACCCTCAACCGATAGTGGCTGAGGACCTTTCTGAAAATGCCTCACACTGAATCAAGTAACTCATCTACTTTATTTTAGAAAGTAACTCATTCTTTATTTTAGAACAGGGGTGTCAAACTCATTTTCACCGGATGGCCACATCAGCTTCTCAGTTGCCTTCAAAGGGCCGCATATAACCTTAGGACTGTATAAATGTAACTACTCTTTACCTAGGGACAAAGAGCTTGGTGCTGCTACTGGGTAGAAACAAGGTGCCGGGCTGGAAAAAATAAGGTGGAGGGCCTTGTGTTTGCCACCTGTGTCCTAGAATACTCAAGGTCACTTGGGTGAGGTCCTACTCCAAGACTTAATCAACTACTGTCTGAGCTACATTGCAAAAATTAAACTCCCGAAGAAGAGGTGGGTTTGCCTTTAGCAAAGAGGCTCCAACAGAATATGGAGTGACGTCTTTGGGTGGGTGGTGCTCATTTAAGTCCAAAGCCCAGTGCTTAATAAAGAATCACTGGAAACCTTCTGCAAAGTCAGTGGTAGAAGAATGATCTTATAAAGGACAGCATGTCCACTTGATGGAAATTGAAAACAATATACCTTCAAAGGCTACCGGTTAGAGGAAGCACCTGTGAATCAGCAATGTGAAAAGAGCAACATAAAGCCCAGACCTGGACATCTCGAACCAGAGGACAGCAGACCAAATCCCACACAAAGCCCAGTTTGGTTGTCCCATAACACTAAATCATGCCTGAATTAATTGCTATAGCTTAAAATGTTTTCTCTATTTACTTTTTAGACAGAGGGCAAGGGAGGGAGAAAGTGGCAAAGAAACATCAATGGACCAGAGATATTTGGATGAGTTGCCTGTCGCACACCCTCAATGGGGAACCTGGCTTGCAAACTAGTCTTGTACAATGACTAGGAATCGAACTGGCCACCTTTTGGATTGCAGACCTGTGCTCAGTCCACACCAGCCATGGCTTAACCACTATCATTTAAAGGTCTGATTTTCCATTTTGAAATGTCTGGAATTCTGGCTTCTGTTGCATATGAAGAGCTGACAGATGGATGCCCTATTCCACATAGCAGCACCACCCCACCTCCAGTCTTTCACAGGCCACTTCACTTATTTTTCTGATTTTTGTAGACATTTGATTTGGGAACCTACCTTTTGGATTCTGTCATCTCAATTCTCATTCTTAAATAACAATGTAATGTACATACATGCCCACAATTAAAGATTGGCAGAAGCCCAGGCCAGGTAGCTCATTTTGTTTGCAGCGTCACCCCATGCCTCCAAAGGTTGAGAGGGTCCAATCCCCGACTGGGGTGCAACCAATCAATATTTCTCCCTTTCCATCTCTAAAATCAATAAACATATCTACTCATGTGAGGATTTTTAAAAAAAAGATTGGCAAGAAGTGGACACATGTTAACAGGGGCTGTTTTTTGATGGTGAGGGTACAGGTGGTTTCTTTGAAATACTTTTCATTTTCTTGTCAGTGTTCTGCCCGTTATATGGAACACCTATGATCAGGGGGAGAAACATTGTTTAAAAGGCAAACTTCAGGATAATGCTGCACTTTTGAGACTGTCAGAATTGATGGAACAAGTGCCCCTGCTCAACACCTCCAATCAGTGGGCAAAGGGCTTTCCTTCTCCAATTGGTCCCATGGGATGAGACAGGCTGGACCCAGCTTGCAGCTGGGTGAGGGCACATGGGGGCTCATTATCCTGCTCTGTCTATTTCTGTGTGTATTAGAAATTCTCCATGGTGAAAAGTAAAACTGTATTGTATCTCCCAGGTCAGCTTTGTCTTCACCTTAGACTGAGCATTAAGGAAGGATATAAAAGACGAGGCAGAATGCTGTCCTCAGACAGGTGCCATCTAATGAGGGAGACCCAGGTGCGGAGCTGTAATTCCGAATTAGCACGACGTGCCTGGTGATTCAGGAGGCAGAGCTGAGACCCACCTCGATAAGCATTTGCCCTCGTTTCTCGGCAGTACAGCTAGTGTGCTCATGTAGGTCAGGCAGGTGCAGCCAGACTTCAGGGAGGAGTTGACTGCTTGGGAAACCACCTTAATTCTGATTTTTAAAGCAGAAGGCTGTCTAAGGTGCATCGACTTCCCTTCGTACCATGGGAATGAGAGTAATACTATGTCCTTGAGTTGGGGAAAATAATTGAGCTCTTTTTCTGACTGTTTAGGACGGGCAGCCCTAGGGTCACCCTGGGAATGGTCACCAGTCTCCTCGTCCCCTGGTGTACAGGTAGGAGGAGTAGGCTGGGACGGGGCTGGTGTGCACCAACTCCAGAACCACTCAGATGGGGATTTTGAGAAAGTGGCGTAGGCTCACATGTTACATCTCTGCAAGTTAAGCACAGCAGGGACAGGATCTGGTGATTGCAGTTTTACTGTTTTTACTTCACTTGATGAGTATTCACTGTTTCCCAGTACACAAATTACTTTTACATAAACAGGAACCTTTGATTTTCACAAGACCCTGCAGAGGTAACCAGAGCGAGTGCTGATAGCCCCTTTGTGAGGCTCAGAGAGGGGCTCAGAGTCACACGGTCTAGTGAGAGGTGATGTTGGCCTTGAACAGGTCCTCGGCTCCACGCTTGGCCTGTGTCCTCCTAGTGTTTACAAGTGACCAATGGCTGGACATCAGGGCTGTGACCAAAAAAGCAGGAGTCCAGGGGAAATGTTTCAGAGCCTCAGACATCAGTGTTCAGAACTGGAAGACACTTCAAAGTGCATAGTCTGTCACAAAATACTTCAGTTGCATTGTCAGAATGAATAGCTTACAAGTTAAGTTATTAAGAAACTCATTTTTGAGACTTAAACTGAAAACGTGGAGAAAAGTGTTTTGTTTTGTTTTTTTAACATCTCCATTTAAAGGTCACCTGTGATGCTGCAACAAACACACTTCAGTCTAAGACCCAGGCCACTAGGAGGGGAGTTTTTCAGAATGCTGGCTGGGCTAGGCAGAGCAAATGCACAGGGCAGGTCACGGTGCAGTGGAGTGGCCCACACGGTTCTGGTGTGTTTTTAGGGAGGTCTGAATGCTCTGCGTTTAGAGCAGGGACTCGGAAAATAGAAGCGCTTTCGTGGAGGCACTGAACACAGAGGGAAAGCTTCGTACATGTTGGGAATGATGAGCAAAGGAAACATTAAACTAAATGCACAAAGTATAAAGTGTAGCCATGTCTAGACACCACATTCTATCTGAATAATTTTTGTGCCAATAGATGACAACAGAATTTTAAAAAATAATAAAACACCTTCATTCAAGGTAACTACAAAAGCATTAGGCTATTCTCCTTTTCTGCAGTCAAATCAACCCCTTTAAGAAGAGGTTAATTATTAGGTAACTGCCAATGGGTAACTTGCATTTCCTCAGTTATTAGAGAGGGTAATAAGGTGGTTCTCAGAACTTTTTCCTGTGTCACATCGCTTGGTAAAATCAGTGTCTTCAAGAGGTCACTAGCAAAGTTGTCTGAGACTGATTTTCAAACTCTCAGGCAACTTGGAGAGCTGGTCATCATTTCCATAGCTTTGTATTAACTATGAAATTCTTAGTCCAATAATAGCACTGTTCAACAAAAATGTGAGCCACACATGTGGTCTTTTTTAAGATTTTTATTTATTGATTTTTAGAAGGAGGAGAAGTGAGGGAGAATGAGAAGGAGAGAAACATTGATGGGTGAGAGGGACATTAATCGGTTGCCTCTCACATGCCCACAACCAGAGACCTGGCCCTCAACCCAGACTTGTGTCCTGACTGGGAACCAAACTGGAGACCTTTTGGTCTATACAACAACACCCAACCCGCTGAGCCACACCTGTCAGGGACACATATGCAATTGTCAGTTTTCAGTAGCCATCTTAAAATTTAAAAAAAAGGAACAGGAAATTAATTTTAATGTTTCGTTTAACCCCATATATTCAAAATATTATTATTTTAACAAAGTCAGTATAGAACATTATTGATTATTACATTTCCTTTTTCCTACTTAGTCTTTGAACTCCATAGCAGAGAGATGGGTTGAGAGTCTCCTAGATAAATTAAACTGACTATATTCTGGAATCACATACTGTTTGGAAAAAGCAAGGAACCTCAGAAGTCAACTCAGTTGGTTCCACAAATCAAGAAACTGAGGCCCAGAAAGGAGTGAGGCCTGGCTGGTGTGGCTCATTGGATTGAGCTTGGGCCTGCAAACCAAAGGGTCGCTGGTTTGATTCCCAGTCAGGGCACATGCCTGGGTTGCAGGCCAGGTCCCCAGTAGGGGGCGTGTGAGAGGCAACCACACATTGATGTTTCTCTCCCTCTCTCCCTTCCCTTCTCTTTAAAAATAAATAAATCTTGAAAGAAAGAAGCGAGGGACTTCTCTAGGCTCACCAGACTTTTATTAGCCATGATCGACCAGCACTTGAATGTTTCTCGTGGCTGAGACAGACTTTATCCCTCAACACTGATGTCTCAGGCTTGTTTTTTGGTGGAATATGCCCGTCAAATGCTTTAAGCGAGTTGGTTTCTCCTGTCAGTGCCTATGAGTCATCACTTAAAGTCCTTCCACTTTACCGGCTCTAATAAATGTGGGGTTGTGGGGAAATGGAAATGCGGAGGGATGGTATATAATAGATGAATGGGTGGGTTTTTAAGTATTCTTGAACTGTGAGATGAACATCTTTCTGTGACAAAGCTGCGAAAGGGATTTTGTTGCCTGTGAAAGCTGCCTATAAATCACCTCCCAGGTGATTTTCATTTTTCCCACACGATGAGCTGCATGCAATGTGTTGAAGCTGGAGATGAGCACAGCTGAATCCTATCACATCACCCCCCACCCCACCCACCCCAAGCTTCCTTTACACCCAGCTCTTGACAGAGCATCTAAATGCAAATGCATCCCTCCTTCTGAGCTGATACTCCAGGCCTCGTTTCTAGATTTTAGATGAAATGTTGGAAAAACTCATAAGGTGGAATGAACTAGAACCTATCCCTAAAGCAATGTAAATCAACCGTGCAATCCAGTTGCTGATACAAGTAAATGGCATGTTTTTCCAGTGACAGGTTATTAGCCTCCTTTCCACCTTTAGCTTTTGTGTTTCCCCTCCCCACTTGGCAGGAGGCCATATCAGCTTTGATGTCTTTCCTGATGGATGGGACAAGAGGTATTGCCTGGGACATGTGGAAAATGATGGCTATAAGACCACTTATTTCTTTGGAGACAAAACCATGCCAGTGAGTATGGAAGCGTTTTTTGCAGGTTCACTGTGCAGTTTGGCTTGCAGGGAGGAAGTGGACAAATGGGCTTTTTTCCTCTTACTTACACCTTACCCTGCATCCCAGCTCAAACTGGTGATGCTTCTGTCCTGTGAGGTGATTGAGATCCCCTCCCCTCAGTGCTCAAGACACTCAGTGCTTGGACACCTCAGTGGAGGTGAGAATTGAGCCTTTGGGGCTTGGCTTTTGAATTAAATATTGCCCTCCTCCAGTGCCTTCCAGAACACCTGGCTCAGGGCTGTTGTCAAATGCTTTTTGCATTTCGGGGACCTTGCTCTTACTTTCTTTTTCCCAGTGTTTTATTTCCCAGGGGCATTCACTTTGGTTGGGCACTAGGAGTCCTAAATGAGAGGAGGACAAGGAGTCTAGAATTCAGGAACAGGCACTGGGGACACGTAGGAGGGGAGGGGTCGGTCCTGGGCATCACACACAGGGTACAGGAGCTGTCCTGGGGGTGTCAGCAATCCCTAGTCCAGGACTGAGGCTAGACTGGCACTGGGAGCAGAGCCTGGTGTCCAAGACCAGCGCCAGCAGGAGGAATCCCTAGGAGGAGTTTCCCCAGAGCCAGCATGGCAGCAGAGGGAGGCTCTCCTTAGGACGGGTGGGTTCCCAAGGAGGTGGCCCTTGGGAGGCCCCAGGGGAGGCTCAGCACCAGGCTTTCACTGGCTAGCCTTGGGCTCAGTGGCTCCCTTTAAATTCCTCCTGCCCTCTGTGCCCTTCTGCCTTTCTTGCCACCAGGCATCCTGGGCTATACTGTACCAGCAGATGCATCAAAATGCTGCCTGTGGAGAGTGTTTATCCCTTCACTTCTGGCCCACTCCAGAACACTTGCTGCTAAGGTCTACCCTGGGTAATAAATGAAAGAGCTGGTGGCACAGAACAAACTACCGGTACCTGCTCTTTAAATGAGCACGCTTTCCAGTCAACACACCCTCTCTCCACGGGTGGGAAAGATTCTAGTTCCCAAACGAACGTGGTGCCTCTCAGGGGTACCAGTGGGCCATTTTCTTCATGACAGGGAGAAGTGGTTTATACTCACATCCTCTCATTGCAATGCTCCAGAGTGCAGGCTTTGAGTAACCGATTGAGGCAGGAGGTAGTCAGGAAGGAAGCTCCAGAGGCCCTGCAGGGCTGAGGTAGAAAACATCTATACATGACAAAGACCCCCTAAGACGGGTTGTTCCTGTTTTCTGGGATAACTCTGAATCATAGAATGCGACTGCGCACTACCCCTGATTCATTATAATATCATTATAATGAAATAACATTGTGGGACTCCCTTCTCCAGTAGCCAATCAAGAAAGTCATGGGAAACCACACACACGCAGTAGCTTTGAAATCCAACTCCTTGTACCTGCCCAGGAAAAGCCCGCCAAAGACTAGCAGGGGGGCTTCTGCCCCTATAAGAATAGAATCCCCCAGCCCACGTGCCCCTTTTTTTTCCTCTGCTCAGAGCTAGCCCACTCCCGTGTCCTGTGGCGTGTACTATCACTTAATAAACCTCCCCTCTTTCTTTATGCTATAAACTTTGTGTGTTTGGTTCAATTCTTTGTCCTCGATCACTAAGAACCTGGTTACCTGTGCACACCTGTGCACACCTGTGACATGATGTCTTCAGGAAAAGTAAGCTGATGAAATTCATTGCACCCAAGATGTAAGGAATGGCCAGAAGCTTCTTCAGGCCTTCCAAACTGGTGCCATTTTGCACAGGCTGAGAAGAGAGCTCTCAGGGGCCAAAACAGTTTTCTGTAAAGATGATGTTCTTCCTGTGTGTAAAGAGCCACCTGGAGCGTCAGGTGGGACTTTACACAATGCAGCGTAGTTCTTTGGGGTGTTTTTTTTTCTTTTTTAGATTTAATTTATTTATTTTTGGAGTGAGGGGACAGGAGGGAGAAAGAGAGGGAGAGAAACATTGATGTGAGAGACAAACATCGATCTGTTTCCTCTTGTACGTGCCCCTGCTGCGGGCAGAACCCAAATCCCTGGCGTGTGCCCCAACTGGGGATGGAGCAGGTAACCTTGTACTTTGTGGGACAGCACCCAAACAACTGAGGCATACAGGTCAGAGAGCAGTTCTGGAGACAATCAGGTAATGACTTCTTTTGGGAATTTATTTTCTATTCTTTAACCACCACATTAGCAGGCTTTCAATTGTGCTTTCTGTATCTTACCTGCTTTTGAACAATGGATGCTATTCGGGGAAGGTTCCCCCACACCATTCTTAAGTAATATGCATTTATTATAGGAAATTGGAAAAAGTATGAAGAAGAAAGGATAAGTCACTTGTAGTCACAGCTGATTTGCCTCCCAGGCTTTTCTCTCTGCACAGTTAACCCCAAATGTGGGACCCCGGCATGTTCATTGCCTTATTTTCTGCCTTTCTTCTCTTCACATATTTTATTTCCCCCACGTTAGTGAGTCTTCTTTGCAAACAAGATTTAATGGTGGTACAACAAACAGTTCATCATTTAGACGTAGTTCATTTCCCCGCTTCCCTAGTAGAGGCACTTGCAGGTTGTGGATTTTTGCTGTTGTAACTAACACTGATGAACATTCTCAAGACATTCTTTGCCCTCCTCTGTGATCCTTTTTGTCAGTGGTTTCCGGGAAGTGGGAGCCCAAGTCCAGCCATCTAAACCTTCTAACAACATATTGATCCTGGAAACTAGGCAGAGAGCTGTTCAAATACTTACTTCAAACTTTTCTTCATATTCAGAGACAGACATTTTGAAAACTCTTTTCTCTCTGTGTATCAAGGCAAATGTTTTTGCTGGCTTCCAGGGAAATGGCACCTGAGCTAAGAGCTGTCAGTCAGAAGCCATTTCCCCACCAAGCCCTCCAGGCTCCGAGGCCTGCCTGACCGCCTCCTCTGTCCTGGACACACAGCCTCCCTCTGACGGGATCTGATCTTACACAAAGCGTGCCGCTGACTCTGAGCACCTCCAGAGAGCAGAGCAAAGAGCTTGTCCCTTGCTTTTCTAAGTAGTAGTCAGCCCTGGAAACCCCGGCACCCTTCCCCTCAGACTCATTCAGCTTAGAGGCTGGGGACTTGGTTTGCTGCGGGGAGGAGGTGGCTAGGGCTCAGGAAGATATGCCCCAGACTGCTCTGCCTGGCTTCCCAGGGGCTGCACCGGCCCAGTTGCCCCTAGCCTTTCTGAATTCTCAGGCGAGAAAACCTGCTTGCCCAATGTTTTGTGTAAAAAAGCATCTGGGCTTTAAGGCAGTGGTGGCATGAAAACAGTCTAACACTTTGTGAACCACCTGTTCACTCTTAACTCGGTCTCCTCTTTGTCTCCAACATCAGGATAATCAGGGTTCACGTCTGTGACAGCGGGTGCAGAACTGGGGTAGGTGGGTACTGGACACTCCTCAGCCCCCTCCCCTGCCATCTGAACACAGCGGACACTGCCTTCTGCTTCATCCCCAGGCCTGGGCCTGCTGGGGATTTAAATATCCGTGGGCAGTTTGACTGAGCTGTGGCCTTGCCTTTGGACCCATCACATACACTCTAACAAGACTGTGATCAGTTATCCATCTCTTTGCTCCTGCACCCCCCTTATCTGCGCTCAGGAACCAGGTTTTGTTTTGGGTCTTGGAAGCTGAGTTGCCCCAGCTGGAGTCAAGTAACCTTCAGTTCACATGCAAATGCAGTGTTTGAAGTTTCTGGTTGTCTGAGGCCTCATTATTCTAGAGGGTGCACTCTAACTAGCTCAGTGTTCTGGCTCTGCTTCTCCTGCCCTCCCTCTGACTCTGGTGTGCAAGCTGTGTGCACCACCTGCACAAAGGAGCAGAGGAGGAGGCCAGGTTCCCTGGCAGGAGGGAAAGGATGGTAGCAAGCAAGTGGAGCTGAAAAAGGTGCCCAGCCCAGAAGGGGGAAGTTTGGGTTCTCTGGGCCCGCTTCCTTGAATGTGGGTGAGTTACACTAGCTCCCAGCAGGACCATGGGAGACTCATGCCAAGTTAGGTATCTGTCAGGTACACATCTGTCCTCTAGTGTGACATCCTCTCCAGGGAGGGGCAGCCGTAGCAGCTGTGAACCTTCCTTGTTTCAGAGGTCACTCTCCCCAGCTACTGGCTTCTGTCCTCACCTTGCACCCTGGCTGACTGCAGGAGCCTCCTAGCTCAACTGTGGGTCCTCATCCCCCCTTCATTCTCCCCAAAGGTCCTGCTGTAGGTGAATCTCATTGTGTCCTGGGTTGCAGCTTTCTGGTGGCGTCACAGAAAGTCCCAGATCCCTACTAAGATCTTCCATACTCTCTGGGTCCTGGCCCTCCCAGCCCCAACCATCAGGTTGTGAGTACTGAGCTGCCTTTCCTATGGAGAGCCAGTCACATGACTTGTCCCCTCACTTCCTTCAGGTGTCTGCTCAAAGGCCCCTCCCTTGTCACCCCAGGTTCCTTCCCCCTCTATTCTTTTTCTTTCTGCTTTCTGAATTTTTAAAAATTGCTTTCAGAGAGAGAGAGAGAGAAACATTGATTTGTTGTTCCACTCATTCATGCATTCACTGGTTGATTTCTTGTATGTGCCCTGACAGGAGACTGAACCTGCAACCTTGGCATATTCGGACGATGCTCCAACCAACTGAGCTGCCCGGCCAGGGCCTCCCTTCCCCTCTGTTCTTTGCAGCTCTTCCCCGTGGCCCACGGAGCTGGAAGGCAGCCCTTTGTCCCTTTGTGGTTTTGTTTGCCCCACTGTGTCTCCAGCTGCTGAAAAGGTGCCAGGCAGGGAGCAGTTGGTCCACCAGGTTTGTCGGGATAGGTGATTACTGCCTCCTCCCTCCTAAGTCTGGGAGTGCCAGGGAGTGACCCTGTCCCCGAGAGGTGTCTGCTTCTTCTGGACAGTGCAGGAGTTTGATTTTCTTCTGAACATAGTTCTCTGTGCTGGTGTTTACCTACCATGCCATTTCCAGGGAAATCTGGTTGTTTCCTTTTATTTATTTTTTTAATCATAGGAATTACTACAAGTGGTTCCATGCTCACCTCCTTGAGTGGCAGATGCTGCCCATGTAACTCAGGGCTTCTGAGTGACCAGAGCACAGCAGGCTCCCGAGGCCGTACTGGGAAGGGGCATTTGTGGCTCCAAGGTCACCGCTGCCCAGCATGACTCCTGCACCCAGCACACCTAGGGCCCCACAGCAATCCATCCGAAAATCTTGAATTTCACTTCCACCTGGGAAAGCCAACTGCTTGGGGATGGGTTCTGAGAACAGTAGGAACTTGAGGGGTCAGCCAACCCTTTAGAAGGATGCCAGGTTTTCTACAGAATCTTTTGAGAATAACCTGTGTTTTCAGTGGTTATTGCCATTGTATGACAAACTAGCTAATTTTTTTTTAAGATTATGAGTTAGACTGCTTATCCAGTAAGAGGAAAATAAATTCCCTGAGAAGGAAAGCAGGGGCTTCCCTCCCCCTCCCCGCACAGGCTCCGGGCAGGAAGCTCGATTCATTCACCTGGGATAATGGGGCTGGGGACCCCCAGTCATGGGAAGCCGCCCCCCCCCCCCCCCCACAGCCAGCAGCAAGCCCAGGTCCTCCCAGAACCATGCCCTTGCCCAACTCCCGGAGCCACGGCAGATAAAGAACCTGGGGAAACACCAGAAAGCTGGATTAGCTGCTGCAGCTGACACAGGTTGCTTTCCAGGGACCTCACCCAGATCCCTTGGTCTCATCAACTGGCCCCTAGTACCATGGTGAAGTCCCATCACTCCCCATTTTACAGGCGGGGAGTTGCCCAAAGCACCCCTCTCGTCAGTGGTAGAATCAGGATCTAAACCCAGGCGACCTGGCTCAGACACTAGCCACATGGCCAGGGCTCTATGGTCACATGGGACTAGTGGCCCCTGTCACCTCAGAAAATTCTGGGAGCAGAGCTGCTCTGGATGTCTGTCCTGCCCACTCCCTGTGACTCGTTATGAGTCTGGGCACAGTGAAAACAGATTGATGACTCGGAGAATTCTGTCCCCTGCCAAGCTTGCCTTTTTAGAAAAATAAGCCTTAGATCGTGAGTTCTTTCATCAGCATAATTATATGCTCCCAGCTGAATTGCAGTTCAGGAGAAGGTGATAAACCCTTTCTCAGTGACAATTGTCTCTTAGTTTCCAGAGGAACGAGGTAACCAAGGAACCCTCCTTGCCAATAAAATGGCAAGGTCCTCATTTGTCTGGCAGCCCTGGGCTCCAGGGCTGCAGCAGCAGCATCTGCTTCATGTCTTTGCAGGGTGGAAACGACCACGAGATCTTCACAGACCTGAGGACGGTGGACTACACAGTGACGGCACCTGAGGACACACGCAGGATCTGTGAAGAGCTCTTCCCCTAATGTCCCTTCCCGTGGGAGGGAGGGAGGCCCAGCTGACAAGTCTGAGAGGGTCATTCAGTGACCAAACCCCGATCCCTCCCTCACATGCCCACAGGACACTTACAGCCATCCAACCCAGGACAGAAATTTTCAAACACTTCCTGAAATGAAGCACCTGCTGAGTGTCAGCTTGGTGGCAGTTTTGAACCAAGGGCACCGTGGCCATCAGGTGGTATTAAGCTAAGTGACCATGTGCACTGTTTCCCCACCTCACTTCCTGTTGGAGAGCCACAGACCTCAGCATGGCCTGTGCATAGCTGGCTGGCCAAGTGACAGCTGAGACAAAGGAGTTCACAGCTCAGCTGGCCTGGTTCACAGGTTCGCTCACTAGTCACTACATAGGGGACAGCCGGTTCTCTGACCATGGAGACGGGAGGAAATAGGTACCGACAGGCCCCAGGGAGAACTGAACAGACATGCAGCCTTTCCCAGCCCTTCCCCCGGGTGCATGCTCTAAGCCCAGGTTCAGAGAGACTAACTTGGGGTGTCACACCTCACCAAATAGCCTCCTTACTAGCCTGGCTGGGCTTCCCCAGGCCTTACTTACCTCAGGTTTCTCGGGGACCTGGTGAACACCTCACTCATTAACAGAGCTGAAGCTGCACTGTTTCTCTGCAGATCTTTAAAAAAAGAAGTGTGTTGACCCTGGCCCTGACCCAGCCTCTGACCTCGGGGCTGGGAGCAGCCATGGTGGGGCCTAGGACCCTCACTCCTCCCTTCCAGGTTCTGCAAGCTCCTCCTGAAACTGGAAGGCATCGCCAGGCCCTGGTCCACAACAGGGTGGAAGACCGCTTTCCAAGACAACGGTTAACATGTCCCTTTTTAGCATTGGAAATGTCGGGACCCACCAGCGCTCTACCACCTGGTGCTGGGGCCCACCAACCCGAATCCATGTGCTTTGCACCCCCACACCCCCGTGTTCCCACGAGGTGCTTTCATCACAGAGGAATCTGGTTCTCCCCCAAACCTGGCCCTGGGCTTGTCAGTTCTGGATCAGTCCACCCACCACCCCGCACCACACGGGTGATGTCTCTGGGCAGTTCTCAGCACAGGCCATCCCATGGCATCTTTCCTTGTTGAAGTATTTTGCAAATGATACTGGAATGGGCTTGCAAATGAAAAGTAGCAAATTAAAGTGATTTTATTGTTCCTATTTCTCATTCTGATTACTTCTTCATGTCAACCTGTCTGCTCTTCTGTCAAATGGGATGCCACCCCTACTGCATAGATAGCTTAATTTCAGTAAAGCCCTTGCAGTGGTGTGTGTGAGCTATTACTCAGGTCAGCCCCCAGGAACCCTGTACGCAGGACTCTTAGGCCTGCTTTGCAGAGGAGGATGCACTGAGTCATTCCCTCAGCCTTGGGGAGTGGGCAGGATGAAGACAGCATCGCCAGAGCTGTAAACATGGTGGCCAAGTGCTGAGCAGCGGGAAGCACAGAGGCTGTGCCCCGAGCAGCCTGAGGCCAGTAAGAAAGCAAGTCCCATCCCAGCACTGCAGAAGCTGACCTGGTGTTTAGCGCTGGATTTAAGCAGTCTCGGGATAAGGGCCTGTGTAGAGGGCACAGCAGACCGCTACTGCAGCTAGAGGCCACCAGGAAGGCCCCTCTGAACCTCGTGTAGCACCTGAACCTGATCCTGAGGGAGGAACTGGAGGAGGCTCAAAATCAGTGTGACAACTGAGTGGGGAGTGACGGAAGGGTCCGGCCCAGTGGAGCCCATGTGGATTCAGGAAGGGCTGGGTGAAGGTGGCCTTGCACCACTTCCTTTCCAAGAACTGCTTCCTCTTCCTTTTCACCCAAGTGCTCCTTGATCTCAGCCCTGGCAGGCACCTGGGCAGGGCAGCCAGGCCTCTGAGCCCTTGCACCTGTATTCCCTCTGGGGCACCCCCTGTCATGTTCTGGAACTCTTCCCAGCCCTGTTGCTTGCAGCTGGTTTTCAGCATCACTTGCATTTTCTTGCAAAGGCCTCTCTCATGCCACCTGTGTAACATCCTCTCAGTGTAAGACGTCCTCAAACCTCCCACTTTTGAACTAAATGCCTACTCTGGCCTCTCCCTAAACAGGTTCAGTGAGCTGGTTCTAGTTTTTCCTAATACAATTTGAAAATCTTACAATAAAAATGTTCACTTCCGCACCACCAAAACTCAGTATTCTCTACCTCCTCTGGGAAACTCGCGCCCAGGGCCACTTCCCACCCTGACACATGGAGACCCTCCCAGAGCAGCCCGCCTGTGCTCCCAGCCCAGCCTCCTCTTCCCCCTCTGCCCTCCTGGACACTGAGAACCGGGCTTCCATGCCCCCACTCCTGAACTTCCTTCTGTCTGGATTGCCTTGTTCTCAGGCTCATCCCCGCACAGGCAAAGTAGAAATACATCAATGGGGAATCTGTCCACACGGGGCAGAGTAACTAGCATTTTCTGTTGTCACAAAGCCACACTGGACCTCAGCTCTCCTGCCTGAGAATGGTGATTAAGAAAAAAGGACGATCCCATTTTTCTGGCCCATCCCCCAAAACAACCAGACTAGGAAGTGGCACCACTGAGTCAGCCTGGTTTGGGGAGCCACCCTTACCTGCTGGCTTCCAGAAGTTTCCTCAGAGCCAGCCTCCCCTCCCTTCTCCCCCCTCTCCCCACTTAACAAACCACACACAGCCTTGGGCAAAACAGACTTTATTGAGAGGAAGGTGGCCGGTGGGAGGAAAGATCTGGATTTAGGAATCCTGGACGCTACTCCCAGCAGGGTCACCAACACCATACATAAGTCCTCCCAGAGCCTCCAGGAGTTTCTGTCCATTGAGACTCTGCGTGGGGAGGGCAGCCCTTCCAGCTCTAACACCCTGCAGTGCTAGCATACTCATCCAGTGAAGGAGATGTGGTCACACAAGGACTGCAAGTGCCCTTCACAAAGGATTCCTGTCCACACATAGGTCACACAGAGGTCACTACAGCACATCCAATTCCCAACCCACTGGCAGGTGAAGTCTGCTGGAGTCACACACAAGACTCGGGCTCTTGGCAGAAGTGGCTCTGGAAGCCTCGTCTGGACCCAACAGGCCTTCAGGGACCACCTGGAGCACATTCAAGGCCAGCAGGCAAAGGCCACCTTGGGCCCAGCAGAAGGCAGAGGCAGGAGGCAGAGGACCCTTCAAGGGACACAACGGGCCAGGGAAAAGCAGATCAAGTCATTTAACCATGATGTTTCACTGCACACACATCAACACACTTACTTGTCTGTTTTAAAACAACTGCACTAGCCATCAGCAAAGTAGTTCTGTAACCAGAAAACACACCGGCGTTCAGGCTGCCTGTCACTACCTAATCTAATAAGCAATGACAGCGATTGAATCTTTTATAGGCGCTTTATTCAGATGGCCAGCGATCCGAGAAGATGGCGGGTTCATACCCTAACAAACCATCTTCCCCTTTCTTTCCTGGCCAGATCTTTTATAAGGGGGTTGGGGGAGGGCAAACAAGGGTCGTGAGAGCTTTTAAATTCAACAGCTTTCTTCAAGGGGGAGGGGTAGTTGCCTGCTTCTTCCTGGTAGGGATGTCTCCAGGTGGGAATCTCTAGCCAGTGCCCCATGAGGTCAGCTGCTTTTTCTCAGGTGCCAGGATGGGCCTTATCTGTAGTTTCTGAAACGAAAGCTTAACATACACATTACTTGCTAGGTTTATGCCTATTTCCCTTAAGCTAAAATTTTCCAAGTCTTAAGCCCCTATCAGTTCCAGCCTCCCACCCACTTCCAATGAAGCTGTCTCCGGGCTGAAAGAGGAAGCTGTCCCCGGAATGGAAGACACCCGATGAAACCAGGTACTGCTCCCTGCATCCAAAGTCCTGTTTTTTGTCCGGAACATCCTGGTCTACCCAAAAGCCAGCTGTAAAGGAGTCACGTCCCCGTGTTGACAAATGGATTCTTGACTACATATAAGCCACATATTTCAAAACATATCACCCAGCTATTTCTATGTTGAAATCATAACTAACGCCAAACCAAACCACAGCAAGTAAAATCCCAAAGGCTTGTTTACTGGAACTACGTACAAAGTTTCACAACACTGAAGCGTAAACAGAGCTGGCTCCTGGTGACAGCCCCAGTTATTTACAAACAAAACCTCCTAAGCATTGCTTCACAGCCGCTTTCAAGAAAACCCCTTCACTGAAGGTGTGTTTCTCCTTCACCGTTTGACTTTACCAGGCTGTCAGAAAGCAAGCTACCTACTCTTTTTTGGGTGGGAGAAGGTCGGTCTTTCAACAAACACCCTCCCCTCTCCACTCCCTTCTCCCTCCCCCACCCACCACCCACATGCCAGGGGATGGGAAATGGCTGCTGAGCTGTAATCACTCAACTTGGAGACAAGGGGAAAAGCCAGGCTCCTGAGGGTCAGAGCTCCCCTCTCAGCAAGGCATGCCCAGGTGGAGGGCTGAGGGCTCTTGGACAGACTTTTCCGGACACCCAGCTGGGACATCTCCTGCTACAAAGGCACCCAAGACCTTACTCCCACCCTCTCCCCCCACCCCCTGAAGCCAGCTCCCCTGGAACCAGCCAAGCCTAGAATCTACAAAAATGCCTGCTGCGTCCAAGGCCAAGGAGGCACAAGAGGAGGCACTGGGTGGTAAGTCATGCTGGGGAGACACACAGCGTCCCTGTCACCACCGAGCAGAATTTTGAGCCTCCAACCCCAGGGGGCCGGGGATGAGGGACTCTGTGGGCTGGAGAAATACCACCTGCCCCACCCCCAGGGCGACGGTTGGACCCTCTACTCAGCCACCAGCCGGCGCTTTGCCTTGTTCAATGCTTTTAATACTTTTCAGATGGTGAAGTTCTTGTGATGGTCAGAGACTGTGCTGGTGGCCAGGACACCCCTGTGCCTGCCCGACACCCTTCCTCCAGGAGACACTTGAAAGGAACCACACTCCCCCACTTTGAGGTGTATCTCGGGCAGTGCAATGTCATGTCCGGTAGGGTCCTGCCTCCTCCTCCCCCCAAAGTCTCCCCCAAGCCCAGGAGAAGGAGTGCTTCTGGCCTCTCCTAGGAGCTGATGACGTGGCCAGACCAGGTCTCGTGCTTGGTGCCCGGCGCCAGGTGGGTGATGACCACCTCCACAGCCTGCAGCTTCTCGTGCTTGGGTGGGATGGAGCACATCTTATAGGTGACCTCGTCACCTTCCACCGGGACGTACTCCCCTTCCACACTGTTGGGGGGAGAAAAGCACTCAGTGCCCAGCACTCAGAAAAGCTCTGGTCACAGGGCGACCCCTTCCGAGGACCTGCCTCCCGCCAGTTCCAGTTGTGCACATGGAAAATCACAGGCAGCAGCCACGCTGGCGCAGCACCACTCGGCCTCGGCCTCGGCCTCAGATTGTGGTGGAGGAGCGCCCCACCCCATTAGCTGCTTCCCTGGGACCTCGGGTGCTGAGACAGTCAGGGAGGGCTCAGCCGCCCGGGGCTGCTCACGCTCCGTGTTAAGCGTGGGTGCCATGGGCTTGTGGACGGAAGAGGAGGGGGAGCCCGTCTGAGCCAGAGACAGAAATGAGGCAGTCACTTGGGAGGCGAAAGATGACCTGGGTACAGGCTTCCTGAGCAGCCGCAGCACCCCACCCTGGCCCCAGAGTCCCAGCAAACAGCCTGCACCCCTGCTCTTCATTCCCCAGGAACCTGGTGCACCTCCGGCAAAGACCCTTCTGTGCTCAAAGATAGTTCCAGGAAGGGTCCTTTTTCTTGGTACCACTGCCAGAATATTCCCTTACTTTCTACAGGACATGAGTCACCATCCCAGACATGATGGTGAGGTGTTCTCCTTAACACCCCCTTGATGAGACCCCCAAAATCCCCTTCAGATGCCGAACACCAGGGCCAGCAGCCCCCCAGAACTGGTTTGCTCAAATTGAAGAATCAAGTAGCAAATGGAGCTTCCCTCTGACTTGGCCACCGAGACGCTCAGCCACTCCCAGCAGTGGAGCTGGGCATCGCAGCATCTCCATCTTTCTAACTTGCCCCCAACCCCATGTTTCCTTACCGACTTATTTTCTGGATGCCCTGTGTATATCTCTGTAAACTAGTACAAATCCTTTTGCAGTAGGATAGAGGCAACACACGTCCACGCCTGCACTCAGGCAGGCGTGCATAAAATGTGCTGCTTTAGCATTTAAGGTCTGCCCAAGAGACCCGACGTGCAAGAATGTGGGGCTGCGGGTGGGGACGCTAAAACAGAAATATTCTCCCCTCATGGCAGACATTTGCAATAGGACCCAATTTTCAAAAACATGGTTTCTCCTGGCTGGCATAGCTCAGTGGATTGAGCTCGGGCTGCGAACCAAAGTGTCGCCAGTTCAATTCCCAGTCAGGGCACATACCTGGGTTGCAGGCCACAGCCCCCAGCAATCGCACATCGATGTTTCTCTCTCTCTCTCTCTCTCCCTCCCTTCCCTCTCTAAAAATAAATAAATAAAATCTTTAAAAAAAAAAAAAAAAAACATGGTTTCTATATACAGGGTGGGGCAAAAGTAGGTTTACAGTTGTGCACATGGAAAATAACACAATACTTACTAAATGATAATATAAGAATAAACTCTGTGTTTCCCACACTCACAGCTGTGAACCTACTTCTGCCCCAGTCTGTACTGCCAGGTCTGCCATGCCGAACAGGCCTGCCCCGCAAACGGGAATGAGAAATCAGGGGATGCTGAGGCCAAAGGAGGGGGTACAGCTCGGGGTGCCAGATCAGGTCCCCACCTATCTGAAGGCCAGCTGGCAGGCAGGAGGCGAAACACAGACTGCAGGACGCCGGGGCCTACAATGCGTGGGCCCCGCCCCGGGCCCTCCTATGGCTCCAGATGCTCAGGAAGGAAGGACGTCAGTGAGCAAGTGACCAGAGAAAGGGTCCAGCTCCAGACTTCCTGGGTCAGTGGGGCAGGGCAGCCCCCAACCTCACCAGGCCACTTCCCCGAGGTAGGGCAGGAAACCGCCCAGAGGGCAAACACAGATTCCCCGGCTCACAGGGGCGTTCCCTCCCCGTCCACATGGGTGCTCACCCCACCCCAATGCTTCCCAACTCTCTCTCTCTCTCACACACACACACACACACACACACACACACACACAGGCAGATTGTCGCCTGCAGCATCTGACACACCAGCCCCACCAAGAGCAGTCTCAAAAACCCAGCTCTGAACACAGTCTCACCAGGTCACACACGCCTGGCCTCACACCTTCATACCTGGCCCACATCAGAGTCACATACTCCCTCTGCCACTGAGGAGCCAAGACAGTGCCCACCCCAGCCCCACACCCCGCAGACCCACCACTGACTCACTCAGAGATGTGCAAGAAGATATCGGGGCCGCCGTCCGCTGGGGTGATGAAGCCGTGGCCCTTGGATCGACAGAAGCATTTGCAGACTCCTTTGTAGACCGGGCCCTGGGAGGCCCTCACCGTCCTGACAGAGAGGGGCAAAGTGGGAGAGGCCCCCACCAGCCCTCCAGACAGCCACCCACTCTCGGGGGGCACACCCCGTTCAACCACACCTCTGCCCACAGCTGGGCCCTGGGGGTCCTGGCCAGGGCCACCACGCACAGCCATCCAGAGGGGTGCACTGCACGGCTCCCAGAGCCATTCACACAGGACCCAGCAGAGCGACTCACTGGATGGCCTTGGCAGATTTTCTCAGGGCTCAGTTTCCCCATTTGAAAAAAGGGTGTTGGACTAAGAGCTCTCTGAGCATCTCTCTGACAACAAGTTATTAGTAAGAGCAGCAGCCTGCACTCATCGGCCCGAGGACTGCATCTGCCAGGCACCATGTGGGTCCTTTGCAGCACTGGGCAGCCCTGCTACTGTCCCCATTTTGCAGCTGAGGAAGCTGAGGTCACAAGATCAAAGGCTTGTGTGCAGTTAAAGGTCAATGATTTAGGACCTGGTGATTTCCCAGCTGTGGTGACTTCTATCCCATGCCCCTAGATCACGACAGGCTCTGATGGGCCTGGACAGTGCCCTCCAGTTTTCACAAGTTTCTCACCCTTCCCAGTTCCTCACCCTTTACCCCAACCCCAAGTCTGCCATTCCACAAACAGGGATACTGAGGCACAGAGCTGGCCAGTCTCTGGAAGCCTCCCCTAGCCAGTCTGAGACTCACGCAGAGTAGGTCCTTGTCCGGCGAGTGGGCAGTTGGCTGGGGGCTCAAATTTGTCTCGAGCCAAAGAGCCAATTCCTTCCTCCAGGGAGGAGACCCTTGGAAGTAGTGCTGTCAGTCATTTACACTTTAGCGAGAGGAAACTTGTCAGTTCATTTCACAAGGCCCCATTCTTGGTAGCTTTCAGACCCTTGAGAGCACAAAGACAGGAGAACAAGAGCTGGTTTCACGTTGGGAGCATCATTCTCAGCATGGTTCTCATCAAAGCCAAACCTCTCCAGGCCTATGTCTTATTTCTAAGCCGCTTTTTCTGAATAGGGTGAGTGTCTTGAGCCTTTTGTGAGTTCCTGGCTAGGGAAAGCCAGGGCTGGGCATCAAGACCAGACACCTCCCAGCCCCAGGGCCAAGCCACTGCTGGCAGGCAAGGATGAGTACTAGCCCGCACAAATGGAAGAAGAGAGGTTACTAGAGAACTGGTCGGGGGCCAGGGTCAATGAAGGTATGATGGCCACTGTCCACCAACTTCTGTGTCAGGGTCTGAGCCTGCATTTACATACTAACTAGAATCATCCCATCAGTGGACACAGAGCAGAGCCGGTTAAGAACAGGCATGCCCACCTGTCGGCTAGTGTAAGAGGGTGGAAGGAAAACTGGGTGGAGTTGGGGGTAGGGGTTGTGGCTCTAGATCAGCCACAAATTTACCCAGTTGTACCAGGGATCCTGGTCTGTAAACGAAGGCAGAGACTCCCCTGCCCTCTCCTCCCTGTCTCCAGCCCAGCTCAACCCAAGCAGAACCGAGGGCTTTCAGGCCTGGGGGGCTGGGTCAGCTGAGGCAGGACAGAGGGCGCCCAAGACAGCCAGAGAGGCTGAGAGACAGCCAGGAAGGTGACCCATTCCTCTCCACTGTTCCACAGAGAGCCTGGCTCCAGGGGAAGGAGGGGGAAAGGAGGGGGTGGAGGAGGCAAGCCCAAGTAGAGGGGAGTGGGGGAGGCAAGGGGTGGGGCAGGGAGTGGGAGGGGTGTTGACAACAGGGAGAGAAATATGAACGGGGAAGGAGGGTGCAGCCCTGGGAACAGCACGTGAGGATGGATGAGAGCTGCTGAGCCCCATCCCAGGCCAAGCCCAGCTGGAAAATGCTGGAAACTGCTGGAAACTGCTCACCTGCCCCCTGCCTGCCCCCTGCCTGCCCCCTGGGGCCCGAGTGCTGGGAAGAGATCCAAAACCCCAGGACCTGTGTGCTGGGATCCAGTGGCAGGCCCTCCAGCACTCCTGCCCCACCCCTCCCAGAGAGGGTCACCCAGCACCCTGACCACCTAGGACATGAGGCAGCCCTGACAGCCTCTTCTGGGAGAACTGAAGCCCTTGTCAGTAACCAGAAGCCAACCATGCACCCTTAACACCATCACTGCAAGCACCCAGGTATTTCATCCTCACCTCCCTGGCCCTGGCAGCAGACCTGAGTTTCAGGCCTGACTCTGCTCTTCACTCCCTGTGACCCTGACAGGTGACCTCACTGCTCCATGCCTCAGCTACCTCATCTGTCGAATGGGGCAGTAATAGTGGCTGCTTCCCAGGCCCAGGGACCTTGTACAGACCTGATGGTGCCAACAGCAATGGGCTGGGTCAACAATGGTTGAGCCACTCATGCTGGAACTATCAGACACAGGGACCTCTAGAATGATTGCTCCTATTCCTGTCCCTGCTGATGGGACACAAACAAAACATCCTGACTTTGCCATTCAGCAGGACAAAGAAAAACCGGTCCCCTCCCAAGGGAACCTACTCTCGACCCCACTCCAAGAGCCCAGGGCCCAACCTGGGCCCAGATCAGCCCACTGGGAGCCCCAGCACTTACTTTGCCCTGGTCCCATGACCCTGTCTTGCCCTGGAGGGGCTCCTGGGCCAGTTGGGGGTGGGAAGAGGACAGACAGACCAGCACTGAGAACGGAGGTCCTCAAGGACCCCTGGAGTAGGGGAGCAGCAGAGGTGGCCTGGGGCCTGGTGAAGGGGCAGGATCACTTTGGGAATGAGGAAGTCATTCCTGGCAGAGGGAGCTGCAGGGGCAAAGGCCCAGGGGGGAGGGGTGCAGGCCACAGAGAGAAGTGGGAAAGATCCAAGTGGAAGACAACAGAAAGCTCTGCTGGGAAGTTTGGCACTTAAACGGCAATGGGGGTATCCGTGCACGATTTTCAGCCTGGGGTTGATTTGAATCGATTGTTTTTATGAGTTTCCCCTGGCAAACAGGTTGGAGAGGCAAGACTGGGAGCTAAGAGACTGAGAAATATCAACATAGCAAGTAAAACAGTGGCTAACCTTTCTCCTGGCACTGGGTTAACTAACCATCTCCTTTTATTCTCACACACTGCATTTCAGTAGGAAAAGTTATGTTCCCAACTAAGAAGTACAAATAGGTAGTTACCGAACAACCACAGGAAATGGAGTAGCCAAGAACGTACACGCAGGACCCATGGACATGAACTATGGTGTGGGGCTGCCTGAGGGAGTGGGGGTGCTGGGTAGAGGGGCAGAAAGGGAAGAAAAATTAGCACTACTGTAATAGCATAATCAATAAAAATATAACTTCAAAATTTTTAAAAAGCAGAGCTATAACAGCATGAAAATAAAAGTTATATCCCCAGTCTACAGAATGGGAAACTGAGGCTTCGAGAGGCCTCCCAGTTTGCAGGGAGACACCATGGCTTAGGAGACAGCAGGCTGATCTTTGGTCCCAGAACAGGGTGTGGGCTGAGAAGCCCCAAAGCCTCCCCAGCCAAGGCGGGGTGTGGGGGAGTGATGGCAGGCAGACCAGTAGAGAGGCACTTTCCATATCAAGAACAGCTGGCCAGTGTTATGAATATGTTAAGTAGCCATGCCTAGATGGCTTGGATCCAGGGAGATTGGCCGACTGACTCTTGATGTAGCTCATTGCAGGTGATGCGAAGAGAGCTTACTATACCTGGGTGAGTGCTTTCAGGTCTGATATAAAGGAAGGTGAGAGTAACTTTCAGGATTTAAAAGAACAGGCTCCAACCATTGTAGATCTCTCTGCCACGCAGCTTAGAAAGAAGAAAAGCAGATGTAGCCGCTGTGTGGAACTCTCTTGGCCATGCCAGGAGTAATAGTGAGGGAAGAGACTTGCTGTCTGTAGTAAGGGATTTTGCCCTGCGATTTGAAAGTGAGAAGGGAGAGGTAAACACTCTGGCTGACTCGAGCTGCAAAGCACTTCCATGCAAGATCCTTTCCTACTGCACCTGGATTTTTACCCGGACTTTAAGACCTGTGCCTTTCCCTGAGTTTCACCATGATCCAGAGTAACATGGCACATGCTTTTTTGGACTAGCACACGGTGGCTGATGAATACATACCCCCGTAACTGAAGGAGAATGCCACTGTTTGAGAATGGTGACTTTCGTACACTCCAGAACAACTGGAGAACTGTTTGTGCAGCGGATTTAAGATAACAACATGGGAACCTTTCAGGGATGTTTTTGGCTAGTAGCCTGGTAGGGAGCATGAAAAGTTCTGGGTCTCCTGGGAAAGGAGGGCTCTGAGCTGAGGTGCTCTGGGCCACCATACCCCCACCCCGCCCCAAGTTCGAATGTTGTAAATAAAGACCTGCTCCTTCCACCGTTAATTGTTGGGTCTTTCACCAAGGCACTATGTGGACCACCGGGTCTGCTCGCTTACAGTTTTGTTGAGCTCCGTAACACCAATACACACATCCAGTCCAACTCCAGGAAGGCGGTGGGGGTCAGGGACTCCCTTTTTAAAAACTGAAAAGGGACAGTTCATTTCCGGCCTGCAAAGCGGCTCCCAGCGAGGCCAGTGGACGGGACGCTGCGGACCCAAGTGAAATTTTGCTCAAGTTTAGCTGGGGAGGGGCCGTGCTCCAAGGGACTAGACCGCCGAGGACCCGCCCTCAGGAGCTCCCAGCCAATGGAGCCGGGGCAGGAGCCCTGGGCAGCGGGGAGGAACGGACTTAGCAGCTCTGTCGGACCTTGGTGTCTGCGTGCGCAGGACCAGGGGGAGCGCGGGACGCACAGCCACTAGCTCCTACTGGCGGCGGGGGCCAGTGTCCGTTGTGCCGCACCCGCAGTCTGAGAGCTTCTCTGAAAAGTGGGAGAATCCCGTCTTCGCGCCAGTGCAGGTTCTTCCCCTGACCCACCGCGTCGGTCCGGCCCCAACCTGACCTTCGCTGCAGAATCCAGACGGTCCGGAGCGCTCTCAGAGATCTAGGAATGATCCCGAGGAATAAAGAGAGGGCCGAAGGGAAACACGCCAAGAACAGAAGGGAGGAAAGCACGGGTGGAAAGGAAAACAAAAAGAAACTGCAAAGAATGAAACGGGGAAAGCTGTTGATTTCGTTTTCTTTTATGGTTGTTTTTGTTTCATTTTATTCCTAATTTCCACTCTCTCCTTCACTTTTCTGTCTCTGGAGGTAAATGATGTTACTCTCATTTTATGGGAGTGGAAACTGAAGCACAGAGAGGCGACCGACCCCCAGGCACAGAGTAGAGTCAGTCCTGGGCCCAGACCCGGGTTGGCAATAATGGGCAGGGACGTGGGGAGCTTTCCTGTAACTGTCCTGGACCCCTGGGCCCAGGAGTGGGGTGGCACCCAGATCTCTGCCTGCCACTCAGTCCCTCCCCCTCCCTCTCCCCCTCATGCCACCTCAGGAGCACAAAGACTATTGAAGACATGAGCAGACAGCTGTCTGCAAGCCAGGAAGAGGGCCCTCCACCAGGAACCAAGATGGCCAGCACCTTGATCTTGGATTTCCAGCCTCCAAAACTGAGAGTGATACATGTCTGTTGTGTGAGCTGCACAGTTTGTGGTAGTTTGTCATGGCAGCCAGAACAGGCTAAGGCCTCTTTTCCTCCTTCTCCCCCCAAATTCCTTCTCAAAGTCTCAACTAATTGGAACCTGTTAGAATTTCACACAAGTTTGGTGCAATTGTGGTTTGCAGTCACTCACAGGGTGTGTTGTCCATGCCAGGCTGTGCTGGGCAGGCACGGAGCACCCAGAAACAAAAAGTGCCC